AATTTTTTTTATCTTTAAAACTAACAAACTTACGTTTAGGTTTGGACTGTCACTAAATTTGCTAACTTTTTAGAATAATTAGTAAAAATAACTTTACCAGTATGCTTTTCACCCCCCCCCCCCCCCCCCCCCCCCCTTTTCCTTTCCACCACCTCCACGGCTTATTACTGGTATATATATATGTATATGTATATGTATGTATATATGTACATTTATATAGTTTTTCTTCTATGTCATTAATATATATTTTTGCCTCACTTATTCAATTTTGCTTGGAAATTCTATACTGCACAGCTTGTATATCAAATGTATAAGATTGCCATAGTATAGATCTTCGCGTTCAGTATATTTTGTGTATATTTTAAACAATATTAGTAATCATATTGTGAAGTCGGTTGTGCAGTACAGTGATACCTTTATTCCGCCTTAAGATATTTAAACATCTCACATGTTCTTGTGGAGGTCGCCGTGGCGGAGCGGCTAGATACTCGCCGCGGATCGGAAGGTCGTGGGTTCGCTCCCTGGCAGAGCAGGACTTTTTTCAAAAATGACCTTTGCTTCCAGGTTGACCCAGCCTTGAGTGGGTACTGGGTGTAGACATGGGAAGTGAAGGCGGCCGGCGTGATGCTGACCACATCACCCATCTTGTGCCGATTGGTCTATAAAAATATAGGTCTAGCCCTATATGCCCTATACGCCCCAAAGCGTGGAAAAGGGTCCTTTACATTACTTTACATGTTCTTGTGAAGTTCTGTTTAATCTCTCCCTCTAGTTCTCTCTCTAGGGCATATACTGCCAGCAGGTTTTCTTTAGCCACAGGTTTTATGCAGTGGGTCATTCATACATCGAGGGAAGACATATGTAGTTCACATATCTTGCACTAAAGTAAATACATGTGATTTTTCTATATTATTTATGTACCTGACACACAGAACACGCGTCTTCTGCTATTGTGAAATAACCCACTCCAAGCTGCACTCGTATTAACTTCTTGTTGCAAATAATTAAAATAATTTAATTCAAAACTAGCATATGTGCATTTAATAGCTTTATAATATGACAATCAGTTATTTATAGCTAACCTTACTATCCTCGCTGCTGTATGTAGGCAGTAATAATCGCAACAAAGATGTTAACTATAAAAAAAAAGCGTCAAGGAAATGTTAGCTGCCAAACAATTGTTAATTATACCAGAAACGTCAGATAAATGTAAGCTGTCAACAGAGTGTGATTGATGTAGAAATGTAAAAGAAATTTAACAGCCAGCAAAGGGTTAATTTGGTAAAACTAAGAAATTAGAAAATAGAACTTACGTCGCATCACTTGGACTTGTGCTGTAACCCATTTTGCGAACCTCTCTCAGTATTTGGGCCATGGTCCATCTGTGGCACGGGAAAGGTTGAATCATGGATAGCACACACAGTCCCAAAGGATTAGGGATAGCCATAAGCAGTTGCTTATCTTTCAGGATATCGTACATAGTATCGGTTGTTAGTAGGCGGTTGAACAGCATACACATTAGAACCACCCCCAGAGAGTAAACGTCTAGCTTTAGCGGATCCACGTAACTCCAGACTTCTTTTTCTATGGCATTAAAGTGTAGGGTGCCACCCATACCAGCTGTAGACACAACAGTGGAGCTTGGAGGAATGGCAAATGCTAGTCCAAAGTCTCCAAGGACGGCGTCGTTGTTCGCGTCAATAAAAATATTGTCGGGTTTGATATCGTTGTGAACCATCCTCTGTTGGATGTTGAGATAACGCACAGCGCTGGCTAGCTGAAAGAAGTACTTATTACATAAACCAAAGCTCAAGTTGTCCAGTTTGGAAGTCAAGGTTCCATTTGGGCAGTATCCAGTACAAATGATCAGGTGCTCCGGACAACGAACTGATCCGAAATACTTGATGATGTATGGATGACGCAGTCCTTGCAAAGCCCTAACTTCGGTATTGAACAACCTATGGCTTCTAACACCTCCATCTGGAGTCAGTAAGGAGAATATCTTGACAGCTTTCTTTTCTGATGGATGATCCTTGAAAGTCGTTAGAACAACTTCTCCACTCATTCCATCACCGAGAACTGGGCCACGAGTAAGACCCAACGTGGTAAAGAAATCACCATTCAGCTCATGAATCACAAGATCTTCTGTTGACGCCATTATATATAGATTATAACTTCAGAACTACACAATACACTCCAAGTGTGAAAAGTAATAATCCAAATGCGAAAGTCACTAAATCGAATGTATAGAATGCTGTGCGATGTAGACTCTACACAGATTTGTAATGCAATGAGATGGAAACACCAGGTTGCTTCTCTATACACTTTGACAGTTGAAACCAGGTTTTTTTTTTTTTTCAAGATTGTAGTAAACTATTGGTTACTAACATTCAAAGGATATTCAGCGTCTGTTTGCTAACTATATCACCCGTTGACAGTGGCCAGCTGGTCATAATTTGATAAGCCGGGTGTCGGCTATTGTCCAGTCTGGAGACGCTAGAGGGTGGATATGCCATGTTGTTGTAATAGCGTGTCATCAAAGGGGAGCGGCACTGACCGCCTTGTCGGGAAGCACGCTTATAAGTTGTCTTCTTGGTGCGAATAGAATAGGCAATGATTGGACTATTGTGAAAACACCCAAGTCGAAGAGTGTGACACTTGTTTACTTTGTACCCAGGATTGTTTAACTAGTAAATGGCTATAGGAACTGTGACCCTCATGCCGTATATAGGTGTATTTTTGTATTCGTATCCACTTTTGTGAATACCGTGTATATGAGCGTGAAGCTTATGTTTAGGTTTGGTGACAACATACAAAGCACTGGGGAACGTAAGAAAACACAATGGACGGAGGGTTGGCATTCTAGTCAATGTTTGCTGATTACTTACTGATATAAATATTTCTGAAACACTTACGTTCTTTGCAGAACCAACCCCAGCAGCCTCTGGCTGTGGTGTGGTTTCTCTAGGCAAATTTACGTCCAGTAATTTGCCATTGCTTTCTGGACGGTTTGCCCCCTGATACCACTGTCGAAACCAACGCAAGGCGCATGGCCCGCAGCTGGAATCAAACCTGGCACCCCGGCATTACGAAGCGTTGGCATCGACTTAGCCACAGAGCCGACTTTTAAGTTCTTACTTGGCATAAATTGTTCTCCGTGTGTTTTTCTTTTTCGCGTTTTAGTTGTACGATTTCTATGACACTCTTTGCTACTTTCCACATACAACATATGACGATCTCACTGAGGACCTGTTCTTACACGCCACCGTCAACAAAATTAACTTCTGTAGGTCATCCAAGATCGTTCTGGGCAGCTGACAAAAGATGGAGATTTGTCTAGTTTAGAGAGGAATCTTTCTTTTTGTTACTGCGTCATGATAGATGGCGCAGGGCCTACCGTAGGCGAACTGAACGTTTATCCCACATCTGTGCTGATAAAGCTCTAGTGGTGCAGGGTGGTGGGGGTGCACTGGTGTGAGGATTGATCATATACAACGGAAGGAGTCAGTTGGTGCACATTGAAAGACACTTGAATGTGCAACGATACGTCAGTGAAATTATTCAATTCCATGTCCTTCCATTTTGGGATATTTAAAGGCGTGTTATTTTTTCTCTCCCCAAAATGACAATGCCAGACCCCATTCTGCACGGTTTATTCCGCAGTTCCTGACTGCCAACAACATTCTCACCCTTCAGTGGCCAACACTGTCCGCAGATATGAGTCCGATTGAGCACCTGTGTGATGAGCCCAATAGAAGTGTTTGTCGCTGAGACTTTGCTACAGCCATTCGTTGATATCTTTTCCAGGCACCCCAGGAAGAGTGGAAAAGCAATCCCACAAGCCCATTTTATTGAATGTAATCGGCATCATAGTACTCCGGACACCCCCATAAACGCTTCGGCCCCATCGTCAGCAGCAAGCGAAGAGTTAAAATTCCCATAGTACCAGTAATTGTCTGATTGTATATCCCCTGAGTGTCGAGCGTAGGCCAGATCCCCTTGTAACTCCTCGCAGTGCCATTCTTCCCATACCGTAACTATCTACCTGTTCCTGTGCACTGTTCACTCGCTCATAAAGGGCTCCCACAACATCCAGCTTGTCATACATCAGTTTATCACCAAGTGGTGCATAACCGGCCAATCTATCTGCCTGCTATAAAAAAGTATTTCCTAACACATTCAGCAGGTAACCTTTCAGAGAAAATTTCTCTCATTAAATTACAAAGATCTATCCAAGGATGCTGAAGTGATCCTTTTTGTGTCTATGCGTCAACACCTAGTATATATCTATCATATATATCTATATACTACTATAGTATATAGTATCAGATATATAACTATATATAGCCCACATCAGACGTCTGATTGCATTCATCCCCGGAGATGCCAGTCACTGATCGACGCCAGAGGAGGCCGCAAACCGTAATAAAAGAAAAGCCTGTACGTCTACAAAGTATCAAAGACCTAGATGTAAAAGAACTGTAAGTTAATTGATTGATCCCTAAGATATTCGCGCGTTCAGTTGGAAGAATTTCGCTCATTAAATTACAAAGACCTAGAATGTCAAAATTATGACTATTTGTGTTCCTTTTTGTGGCTATGCGTAACTTTTTCTACGGCATATATATATATACACACACATACATACGCACACATTGTTTGTGTGTGTGTGTGTGTGTGAGTGTAATCTTATTCCCATTGTACCGTGCGGTGTCGTGGTGAAGCATTATTAGGCAGCTTACTTGGTCAGTCTCACTAATCACTTCCCGCTTGGGCTGTACATCACTACCTGTTGTAGTTTAATGTCTATTGGCATCGGAGTTTTATGGGACCCAGCCAGTTTCCCATGTTGTGTTTTACATGTTATTTTTAAATGAAACTTAGAGAGCTGATACCCCCAGTCAGAATAGATGGAGCAGAGACATCCCCCCAGTATCCTTATTTTTCCCCCGAAAATATTTTTTTACCAGTTTCGTTACAGTTTCCTTTTTTCCGATGTCTTGACTTCTCACATTGTTGTTCTCATCCAAACATATATAATATATCAAAATATTAGTGCTATGACCTGTTTTCAGCTCAATATATTAGTGGTGTGTCCCGTTTTTAACTAAAAATATGTTAGTTGCCCTACCTTGAACTTATGTTTACCTCACAGCTAATTGTACAAAATAGACTTTCGACAATCTACAGGCATAGCGACAAGTGTGATCAAGTATTAAATGATTAATTAAACAGTAAGTACAAGACTAAAACATTTACCCAACACACATATTGAGGTACAGTATGTCTGTAGGTAAATACTTAGCGATGAAGAATGATGTAATATTATGTAAAAAGACACTGTTTCTTCTAGTAGGTGCTAGGGAGACATTGCAGTTTAATTTGCATGCTCAAAAACTGGCTTAAATCAAACTTCATTTCACAACGCAATGGTGAATAGTCTAAGTTACGTGTATGCAAAGACGGACACCGTCTATGAAAACAAATAGTATTTTTTAAGCACACGGCAAAAGCCTTTTAAAGCGCATAACTATACATTTCATACAAGAAAAAGTAATTACAGAAACATTAAAAAGGTAATTTTTTAATGTTGTATTTCTGACTGCGATTTAAAGAATAAATTCCAGAATTGTGACAACATCATGCTTTTTTTTAGGGACTTTTCATGAACCATAATACTACCAGTGTGGCGTCCGTGGCCTAGGCGTTGCGAGTCTGACACGTAATTCCAAAGTACCGCGATCGAAACCCACTGTTGGCTGAGTGGATTTTTATCGTAGTATGGGGCGTCGCCAGTGGACCCAGCCTAAAGTGGGTACCAGGATGTAAATCCTGGGAAAGTAAAGACGGTCGGCGTAATGCTGACCACATTACCCATCTAGTGTCAATTAAAGTAAGTAAATTAACGATCCTTTTTCACGCCATTAAGGCGCATCGGGCATATGGAAAAAGCATCCATATATTTCAGACCATTCGGCACTGGGTGGGTAATGTGGTCAGCATTACGCCGGCCGTCTTTTCTTCCCCAGGACATACATCCTGGTACCAATTTTAGGCTGGGTCGATCTGCGACGCCCCTTACCACGATAAAAATCCATGCAGCCAGCAGTGGGTTTCGATCGCGGTACGCTGGAATTACGAGTCGGACTCGCAACGCCTAAGCCACGGAAGCCGCACTCTAGTGCCGATTGGTGAATAAAAATAAGGGTGCTCTTACAATATGCCTGATGCGCCTAAAGGCGTGAAGAGGGATCTTTACTTACATAATACTACCAGGCGTATTCATCACAATGACAACTAAAGTGTTTAGATGACAGAAGGTTGGTTGTCCACGTCCTGGATAAAGACATCAACTATGGGACTGACCACACCAGTCTTGTTTGATCTGCCTGTCAGATTAACTTAATTTATACAAGTCTGCCTCGATAAGTATTTGAAAGCAAGAGAAGGCTGTGGCTCCCGTTTCGTAACAAAACGATAATTTATGTTCTCCATTCAGTGAACAATTGTCGGCTATCCTCCGAATAACAGCCCCATATTATGGCAGCCAAAAACACACCCTGACAGTGCCTCATTAAGTCGTGTGTTGTAAACAGTTAAAAACTTGAACTCGAAAATAATGAGGAACGAAAAAAGGGAAAATGACGAAATCAACTATTTAGCGATAATTGAGGCCTTTATATCTGAAAATAGTGGCACGGAAATTGCAAATAGTGCCCGAAAATCTGCTCTTTGTGGCTGTGGCGCCATTGAAACTCTGCTAAATATGATCGGTGCGGCATTGGTAACGCAGTTTTCACCACTGAGAGTATCTCCCGCGCCGCTACGCTCGGCGTGGGTAGGGGGCTAAACTAGGTGGCTGGGACTAACGAGCAAATACATTGGAGGAAGTTGTAGGAGATGCGGTAGCTGCTGCTCGTGAGTCCCAGCCATCTATTTTAGTCCCAGCTATCTAGTTTAGCCCCCATACGCTCAGTGGTGAGTTTAATCGGAAGAACACTATCGCTGCGTCAGAGCGCGTGGTCTCCCCGCCAGGTCGCTATTATCGTGTGTATTGTTGCGTTTCTCGAAATTGTCAACGGACAGTAATCCTAGTTTTGCCGCGATGTATTCCTCAAAGAAAGTCCGCAATTTACATGTTATTGAGGTCCTGTCAGG